TCAGACATACTACACTAAATTTGTATTGTGTGTTGCATATGGTTGAAGCGTTGACAACATGGTACTCTACAGGAGACGAGTCAATGACGACAGGGCTTTCTCCAACACATCTCTTCCATTAACGCTTACTCTATTTTTTCCCAACAACGCCTTCCTAGCTCTCTCTCTCCACCAACACATATAGGTTTTAGGCCCTTCTGGCTTTTTTTTTATTAAAAAAACTACAATTTACAATCTTTTATAATAATTCTATTAAATTTTCTCTTCGTCTTCTAATTCTTCGATGTCTTCTTCAAAAACTACCGATTGTTGATTGACCCTTTTTAAACTTATTTTTGGAATCTTCTCTTCTCTTTTGATTCAAGGAATATATTGATATATTTTCAAAAATTGTATTACAAAACAAAATTTTACAAAATAACACCATTGAATCGTTATTCTAAACCGGCACACAGATTAGCCTGAATCAGACGTGATTTGGGGTTTTCCCTAGACGTTAAGCTCCAGAGGAACACCGTACTCTGCGATGATTTGCAATGAAGACGACTGGCGCCTGAAAAGAATCGTCGCGACGTCACCATACCATACATCATCAACGCTTTCATCTCGAAATTGATGATATTAGGCAATACACTGTTGGCACATATCGCGCGACGTCTTTATTCGACGTAATGGAGATGGAAGTGCAAAGAAAAAGAGCAACAACTACTAGTAGTAAAACGCGTTTATCATGTGAAGTAAGAGGATATGCATCTGCAACTTTATTTACCTACGAAATTTATATATTTGTATTATTAACTGAGTTTTTTTCTTATTGTAAATAACGTTTTTTCATTTTTTATGTGTTGCTAAAAATTCCGTAAAAAAATTAGACCAAAATGACTAGTTATAAGATAATTAGTCTCGCCTAAATAGTGTAGCCAAGTACAAACTTCCACCTATTTTCTTTTATCACTAGTCCTATTTTATTACCATCTTTCGCCACTTACTCGAGTCAACGTTTTAATTATTGTTTTTTTTTAGTACGATCGAGTGGGTTTAATACATTTTAATAGATAATCAAAAATAATTGTGCAACAATTAAATAAACAAACCAAAAACGCAATTATTATCGAACAAAAAAAAAACCACGTTCAATATAAATAAATCAAACGTTATTCAGTTGTTAATTATAATCGAATTTTTCAATTAAACGTCTGCAATATTAGAGTAATAATCTCATTTCATTATTCCACAACTGCAACACATTTTACATAAAGTGTAATAACCGTTTGGGCACAAATGTTAACACAATTTCAAATGCATTGTTGGTCGATTTAAAAACCAGGTTTAAATTTGCTAATAATTTCCAATATTTTTTATATATATGAAGCAATATTGCAAACGTGGTGGTGGGTATGAAATGAGTTGCAATTGTTAATTGTTCAATACTAATGAAAAAATATTTATTTTGAAATTGAATGCGGAAATTAAACAGGTTTAATATTTTGTAGTTTAACAGTGTGTACTTGGTTTTATAAAAAACAAATTAAACAACAATTGAAGGGGTGTTGTTATAAAAATTGTTGAGAAAATAAAACACCTCCAATTTGTTGTTATTTTATATTCTTTCTATTGGCTATACGTCCTCTGCAGGATATTTTGAAAAGATGTTTGTAAACGGGTATGTTTCAGTATTGCAAGATCTTTTTTAAGTAGCAGAATTTGGGATTATTATAGTAAAATCAAGTTTTATCTTTATTCGAACAAATCTACCAAAGTTTGAAAGTTTTGCATAAACATACGCCTGCAGACTATGCAACAGATGATTATTCCTTTACAGAAACACCGTATCAATCCGTTTATAGGGTATAAATCCCGAAAATTAGCTTGCCTTGTAATTAACTCCCGAAACGATCAACTAACAAATACCCAAATAGTAAACGTGAAGCCCAACCCACATTTTCGTGTTCTTCGAAGGAAACTAGCTCGTTTTAGCCAAGGATATTGTCTCGCCAATTATTCGGCTTGTTTTAATTCGGCCTCCTTAATCGAATGGGATTAAAGGTCCGACTAATTTAACGCCATTCCTGCGTATGTCGCCGTCGGTGGCACTGTGGGTCAAACGGACATTCTAGATTTCCTAAGAGCAAATCCTCGAAAAAGCAAAAATGTTTTGAGGGTTTTCTAATATAAAATTGTTTTTATATGCGTACCACTGGGAATACTGGAAGATGTTATGTGCCTCGAAAATATTTAGAGCTTTAAATTTGTGCACCGATAAAACGATCTAATAGCAGACGATGCTAGTACAGTACATGAACATCTTCACGCTTTAATACATTTTACTAATGGATTTACAATGTTAGCAAAGAAAAAACTATAGCGCACTGGTACACGACTCCATTCAAAAACAACTTTCAAGAAAATAATTTGCTTGGATTATGCTGTTGGTGTCCTCAGATACATCACCTGTGCTGATGGACAAAAGTCGCTTAGAAGGGATGGAGATGTTCTTAGAGGTACACCTCATTCTCATAACGATAGAAGAGTATTCAAAAAAGATTGGTTACATTCCCGAGGAAAACAGTGTTGATTGGTACGCACAGAAATTTCATAATTAGCATCTGAATGTGTAAAAGACTTAGAAAAATACACGTCTACATGTAGATGTGATAGAGGTGCCGAAGGAATAAGGCGGAGGGAAGAAGCTAACGAGAAACGAAGACAATTTTACAAAAGAGAACGGGGAATGGAAATTAGGAATAATTACAAAGAAAAACAAATTAAGAAAAAGAAACTAATTACAAGTTTACTGAAAATGGGCCTAAATAAAAAAGCTAAGCTTCAAAGAAAGACAATTTCGAAACTCATTGAGTTACTGTAAATACTAAATAGTGTTACTTTAAAAATATAATTTTGAAACAAAATATATTTTATTTTCATTGTCCAATGTTGACTACCCTACTACAAATAACTTTCCTCCATTTAAATTATTAGCAATATGTGTCCAATTATTACTTAAATGTCCATACCAGCATTCTACTGTCCAGAGTGAACTACACGTTTTCCATTTAAAAAGCATTGGTGTCCAATATACTATGCTTCTACAAGTAGAAATCACATCAGCGTCGTTCGTTTTCGTTCATTATCATATCGTCGTTACCATTGTTTGGATATTTATAACACAGATATCTGTAGACGATCTGTAGGTATATACAGTACAGGTGAAAAGGTTTAGGAAATTTAACAAACAATTGATAAAGGACGATATCGTTTCCTGTTCGACTCTAAAGCATGAGCTCTACAAATACCATTATGTTTAAAAAAAAAAATAATAATAATTTAATAATAACAATTTTATTGATACAGGCGTTTACAAACAATTAAAATACATCACTTAAAAGATGAAAAATACAAGGTATCCTGTAGAGCTTTCTTCAACGCAGGAATAATGACTATAAAAAGGCATATTAATGTTATCAAGAAAGTAAATGCCTTACGTTACTTAAGAAAAGCGTAAAGACGATAAATCTGGTTAATAATACGTTAATGACAAACGAAAACCAAACAAGATAAAATACGAGGACCTCTCTGTACGAACTCAACGCATTTGAATATTTCTAAATCAGAATTTCAATACCTACCTTACAAAAGTATAAAAATATAAAGAATGTAATAACAAAATTAATTATAAAAGCTACCGAAAATGTTTTGAAAGGAGAATGCATCAAAATTAATAAAAAGAAAAAAACTATTTGTAGACAATCTGTAGACGATCTGTACATTCAATACCAATACTAATAAATAAAAAATTTCATTTAACAGAACTAATACTACCATACTCTTTTTACAAGTAATTCTAATGTAAGATTTCCTTCAACAAAATAACAACAGATATATTTTTCTACGATCATTGCTAAGTTTTCATTTAACAACAAAATCATGCGATATAAAGGACGTATACGAGAATATTTGTAACAAAAAAAAAAACATGGAGAGTGGTTTAAATTGTATAAAATGACAAGACCTAATAAAATTATGCTGGAACTACCAATGAACAAACGAAACTTTTCCAAAAAAAAAGACGCAATTGTTGAACCAATCAATTGTAACGGAAACGTGACGTAGATTAACGCTGAAGAGAAAAATTAGGCACAAAAGCAATAATACCAAAAGTCCATATCTTTATTGGTAAATAAATACTCAACCAATGCACCTGACAATAATAAATCTTGATATAAAAAGCTGGTATACTATTTAACAACGGCAAGCATTTGATTGGATTCGAATTATCTTCTTAGTTCCTCGTTTATTTATTTTATTCTGTCACTTAAAAAACAATCAATGACTTAAGGTACAGTTACATCTGACATTTATTGCATGATATTTATGTCTGACAGTTATTCAGTGCAGTGTAAACACACAAAAATTTCTCTCGGACATATATTTTTGAGTGTTTACACTGGAATAAACAACTGTCAGACATAAATATCATGCAATAAATGTCAGATGTAACTGTACCTTTTGGAAGGTACTAAGCAACATTTTTTTGTTACAACTGTCATCTGTATGTCATTCGGTGTTAAGCACCGCTTACCTTTATTATTATTGATCATATTTGGACTAAATTTAAACTGGTATTACGTCATTCATTGTATCTTTTTGGCATTTTTTGGAATTATGACTCATAGGATCTTGGACACCAATGCTTTTTAAATGGAAAACGTGTAATTCACTCTGGACAGTAGAGTGCTTGTGTGGACAAATATTGCTAATAATTTAAATGGGGGGAAAGTTATTTGTAATAGAGTAAAATCAACATTGGACAATGAAAATAAAATATATGTTGTTACAAAATTATATTTTTAAAGTAACAGTATTAAGTATTCAATGAGTTTCAAAATTGTCTCTCTTTGAAGCTCAGCTTTTTTATTTAGGCCCATTTTTAGTAAACTTGTAATTAGTTTCTTTTTCTTTGTAATTATTCCTAATTTCCATTCTCCCTTCTGTTTTGTAAAATTTTTTTCGTTTCTCGTTAGCTTCTTCCCTCCGTCTTATTCCTTCGGCACCTCTTTCACATCTACATGTAGATTAATCATGAAGTTCGTGTTCAGACGTGTATTTTTCTAAGTCTTTTACATATTCAGATGCTAATTCTGAAGTTTCTGTGCGTACCAAGCAACACTGTTTTCCTCGGGAATGTAACCAATCTTTTTTGAATACTCTTCTATCGTAATGAGAATAAGGTGTACCTCTAAGACCATCTCCATCCCTTTTAGAGGCTTTTGTCCATCAGCACAGGTGATGTATATGAGGACACCAACAGCATGATACAAGCAAATTATTTTCTTGAAAGTTGTTTTTGAATGGAGTCGTGTACTAGTGCGCTGCAGTTTTTTCTTGTAGGCTAACATTGTAAATCCATTAGTAAAATGTATTAAAGCGTGAAGATGTTCATGTGCTGTACTACCATCGACAAATAGAATACCATTTAATACCATTCTTTAGACAATTCTTCGTAATCTTGTGCTTTTTGCTGTTAATCTCATTTAGATTCAAGAGAGTCAAATAATCAGTTTTTGACAGTAAATACATTTTTTGTTATTTTTAGAGAAGCTACTCGTAGAAGATGTTTCAGTAGACTGGAAGCGTCTTTAACGTCTCAATACCTTAAACAAATAATTCATTACCCTCGCCACCAAGATTTTTGCGCACGCGCAGTAGTACAAACGAACGTTTTGACATGCGTTCACGTAAACGAAGGTTAGCTTAGGAGGATATACGAGACGTTCTCCTTGTTTCACTGTACAAAGAAGTTTAACAAAAAAGGTGGGAAATCTTCCCATTTAAAAACTACTAGAAATTGATTGAAACAAAAAGTTTCAAAGGCTCAGAAGAAATAAAAAATTAAATGCTGTTTATTTATGTCTTTGTTATCAATAAATAAATTAATTAAAAATTTTAGTAATGAGCAGATTCACCATAAACCGCATTTTTACCTATGTCAAATCTATTGGACACCGTTTCAAAAAACTGCTATTTCGTTCATTGTGTTCCAGACTTTCGACCACTATTTCTCGTCGTCCTGAGTTACACAGCGAACCGCAGAAAACCGACTATTGTAATTAACTGGCTTAATATACATGTGAAGTAGAGGAAAGAGCCCACCGGATGAAATATGCGACTACTTATCCTGCATTTTGAATAGGTCTTTAGAATTGCGGATCTAAGAGGAAACGAACTATGCCCAATACGTTTTCACTCAGCACGGCTGAATAGAGTTTGGGGCTGCGGTTTTACTTCGTCCTTTCTTTATTATGAATTGGATTGTCGATAAGTTAGCCTAACTTTGTTACCTTTGGAGAGTTTCACTTATTTTTTTATACGTTCGATGTACTTACCCATTTTTTATTTATTTCTATTTTAATTTTAAGGAAAAACTGTCAGCAAAAAAAATGGCCAAGTGCTGATCGTACAGATTTTGCATTAACCTTGGGGATAAGTTAGGAAACTGCAATTTTTAATCGTTTTTTTTTTTTTAAATTATTAAATAAAAACTAACGATTAGTTTTGAAATCGGGCTCAAATAAGCATCTATTTGATATCCTACAAACTTTTTTCTACTTCGAATTTAGATCCTAAGATAAAAAATCTACTTTTTTACTTGGCGCCTGCATTTAGGCCATTATTACTACTTTGTGACGAAGTCACTAAATTTTATTTTTAATTAATTTTAAAAATGTATATATCAATTAATTCCCGCCTAATTTACAGATAGGGCCGACTAGAGGAGGGGGCATCTAGGACTAATTCCCGGGGCTCAAAAGAGGGCCCGGCAGCGGTGGTGTTTGTTACTTTCAGAAGTTCGACACAAGACGGGGGAAGTTCTTACGTGAAGACCTTGTTTTTAGATAAATTCAAGCAAATGAGGAGAAATTTTTGCTTGAGGACCTTTATTTTTTTTAGAGAAATAATTTTTGCTTGAAGATTTTGGGGTCCGATCTGGAGAATTGTCCTGGAGCCCGGTCTGACTCTTGGCGGCCCTGTTTACAGAGTACCCACTATATGCTTTTTTAGTTTTTTCGATAGTTTATGGCAAATCGTAGCCTATTACAATGATTATCACTAGTTGAGTTACAATAAATTTCATAAATTTTAGTCAAAATCCTTCATATCTAAGTCCTTAAACTATCCTATTTCCTCGAACTCCCTATTCGGGTACGCTCTTCTTCGGTTATCTATTTCCTCGACGACTACGACACGGACACCGATGTCAAATACGCGGTGGAGCCGCGTGCTGAATACTTGATGAGTAGATGAAATAATTTTCGCAAACGGCCAATTGATTTTAGGCGCTTCAGAGTTGATTTCCTCAAGGGTAATAAATGTGAAATAGTGTTACGGTTATGGGAACTCCTCGACGATTTTGATCAAAGCAAGTGATTTCTTGTGGCTATACTGAATAAGCAAGTTTTATACGTGTGTTTTGACGATGCCATATCATTTTGTTACTGACTGAAATATATTTTTTTTTTTGACGATATATGATCACTCGATATTAATACCACATAATAATAAATTGACAGTAATATATCTACAAAACTCTAAACCATGAAAATTTGCAAATACCAACACTATATTTTATTGATATCAGGTATAGACTATTTTTATGTATGAGAGAGTATTAAAATAATAAAGGGTTCGTAATCCATAGGCGTATCACTTCTTTTAGTAGACAGTTAAAATATTTTTTGAAGTTATTACTCGAGTATACAGTTATATTTTCACCTAATTAACCTGCTTATAACTTCTAAACAGCTGAAGGTAAAAAAGTGCAATTTTTTCTAAAATGTTTTACTTTTCCACGGGTTATGTAGGTATAAGGGTTTAAACTTTGACTTTTAAACAACGTTGCGTTCATATATTGTCCAACTTCCACATTTTCTCTTCTTCTTTAATCGTATGATTTACTGCCTTTTCCCAGTTTTCAGGCTTCACATTATTTACAGCCTCCAAAAACAACTGTTTAACATCACTTATTTTAAAAGAATTATTTTTTCTTGAAACTTCTCCCTTTATCTGTGCCCCTATCAGTTCAATCGGGTTTACTTCGCAATGATATGGTGGTGATCTAACAACCGTCATCCCACGATTTTTTGCAATTTCATCAATTTCATATTTTTTGAATTTCTCTTTATGAAGGGAACACAAATGATACAGTTCTTTTCTCACAGAACCGGGATGGAACTTAATATTCTTTGAATTTAGCCAATTCTGTAAATCTTTTTTTAACCACTTGGTTGTGGGCATTTTTTTTATAAGTCTCGAGTGATAACTTGCATTATCCATTACTATTATACAGTTCTAAGGAAGAAGATCTATAATTTGTTCGAACCACTCTTTAAAGACATCAGCATTCATGTCCTCATGGTAGTCACCGGTACGAGTAGATTCAAAAGTCAATAAACCACCTTTAACAAAACCGTTTGAACTACCGATGTGTACTATTATTAGTATGCGCCCCTTTCCTGATGGTGGATTTAAATCAGTAGATAAATTATTTAAAAAAGCCTGTCTTCGACTTGTAACAGTTTCATCTTGCCAAAATTTATTTGGTTTATGTCCCTCGTTGATCCATGTTTCATCTAAATAAAATATATTTCTTCTTTGGTTTCTCATTTCTTTTATAGTCCTTAGGTAATTTCTTCTCCATACTACAATATCGCTTCTTTCTATTAAAATAGACTTTCTGGAATGCTTTTTCCATAAAAAACTTATTTCTTTTAAAAGTTTCCATAGTGTTCTTTGACTCATTTCAGGGTAATTCTTATCATCTCGAACCGTGGCAAGAACTTTGTCTACTGTCGGAAATTCTTTTCTAAAGAAGGACGCATGCACTTTCCTTCGAAGTCTTTCTTTCAAAAGATTTTCTAATTGAAATTTTGGTTTTCCTGGAGCTTTACGTGCTGTTTGAAACTCGTCACAGTTCTCTTCTTTAACCACTCTGTAAATCGTAGATTTCCCAACACCAAGCGTACTACTAACTAATTCAACTGTGTCATCAACACTTTTACATAAATGTTTGTCTGTAAATGATTTAAAACAATTAAATATTAATGTTTTCTCATTAACTGTTAAAGGACCGATTTTTTATCGTTTACGTGGCCCTTCCAAATTTTCCATGATCACACTAGAATTCACACTGCACCTTGCAAGTTGCAACTAAACGACATTTAGTAAACTGTCAAGAATACACAACTGGGACCTCCTTACTAAATGGAAAACCTATAATCGCATTTTCCGTGAAATTTGTTGGGAAGGTATTTATCTACTTATTATTCGATTACTGTAAGAAATTCTTGGAATTAAAATAAAACAAAATTCGCAAATAGGTACTTATTGAAAATAATCTTAAGATACGGCTATGTAATTTTTAATACACAGGGCTTTTGGCCTGTCCAGACCTTTTTCTATTGTTCTGTACAGCTTATGTTTATAAAGGACCAATAAAAGACCCAAAACTTGCAATAGCTCAGGTACATTTATTACAATTTTAGGAAATATTTAGATTATTCTGTAAAAATATTTAAAATGACCGTACTAAGTTTTGCATTAGAAATGCTGTTTTATTACTCTCTCATACATAAAAATAGACTATAATTAAATCTGAAAAACGCCTAATCTGGGCCACTTATTTCTTCAAATTGCATTAGATTTATTATTTGTAATATGTTAATATTATTTCTTGATGTTTCTACTATCTTTTATCTCATAAAAAGTGTTATATCCTGACGATGCCACCACTGCATACATCCTTGTTCATTTGGAACGGGTAAAAGGGACGTTGGTTGGTATGATGTCAGCTTGTCATAACGCCTAGAAAATGTGTACGACCCCGCACCGAGCATATAATCAAGTTGGCGTATGCATGCCGGCGTCCACGTTGAACATTCACCATCTCCGTACCCCATACAATAAACACAGGAATGTCGAATGAATGCCATTTAGTTCCTAACCGTACACTACAGACTTATTGATGGGAATGGGGGGAGTGTATTTTTAAAAGGTCCGAAAACGTTTTAATAACTTGAACCAGCTTCTCAATAAATATATTTAGTACATTTTTTATTAAAACAGTGAAGAAGTGCATCGTACCTGTTTTAATTAAAAAAGTTTATCCTTTCCTTTAATCTCTCTTTAGATTTAAAATAATATTGGTGGAATTGTTCTAAAATCTGATCTCAGGATATTAAAACCATTTTATTTTTTGAAAATATTTCATTATTTTATTTAAAAAATAGCAATAATAAACATTGTAACCACCACATGTCATAAACAATTTCAGAATGTTCAAAGCTTGGGATTACTCTAAGCTTAATCCCAGCAGACGTTTTGCCTGCCTTCAAACGGAAATATTAATTATTATTCCTTTATGATTGCTGCTGAAAATTTGAAATAAACAGCGCACACGGAATTAATTTGTGTGTAACTGGAAAGAGAAGCTTTAGGCAAACGTTGGTACAAATTCGAGAGATTTCATTTTGAATAATTTCAATTCAGTCGTCTATATATCTATCAACAAGGTGATTAAATCTTTGAAAATCTAAGCACCGTATCTTAATTGATTTAAAAGTAAGGATTTCAAAGACATTCATCTACTGTAATACAAAATATGCGTAAAAAATGTTGGATCGAACTTCTTCGTGGTGAATAAGATTTGCTATTTTTTCTGTAAAAACTTTTTCCTTTCATTTTTTAATGTGTTTATGTATACATGTTATCTGATTAATTAGTTTCATGAAATCTCACATATATTCAATGATAAAGTTAATAAAAACTATTACACAATAATAACTAGAAAGAAAATGAACCATCGGTGCTTTCCAACTTACTTAAAAAATAAAATTTAGTCGAATAGCAAGGAATTTTTATCTACACTGAATTTCAAAACGGTCAAGAACAGGAAAGGAAAAAAGCAATGCAAAGAACTTTTCGAAATATTTTAATTTTAAGTTTGAGAAACTTGAAACTCTGGAAAACTAAATCATGGAAACGTCAACAGATTGTTACACAAGAAAAAAGAGTTTATATAAAAATTTGTTATGCGAAAAAATCATTTGTTTTTAATAAGATTACTAAAAAATAACACGAATGTATTTATGAGATGAAAACTAAATGTTTTAGTACACTAAATATGGCATTTTCAGTGTTAAAATTCATATTATAAGCCTAGCTATAATTTAATTTGAAATATATTAATTTAAAAAATTAAATGCAAACAATTTAAACCTGCAGATTCTCGTAATAATTAAACAAGTTCCTGTGCAAAGTGGAATAAAAAGTTATCAAATTGCATTTACTTTTTTTATGCCTTTATAGAAACTAAATATTTATTATTTGGAGATGTGCTCGGCAACAATATATTCAACAATTGCCATAAATTTAAAAGTTTTCATATGTGGGTCGGACTCATAAAAGCAAAGCATGAAAATGGGCGATTCTGTAATGGGAACGAAATTCCTGCACTCGTGTTAATGTTTAAACCCAAAAAAAATTGTCAGTAATGAAAGAAATTAGTATCTTTAATTTGGATATATGTGAAGATTATTACTTAAGAACCGCTGATAAAGTTAGATTGTCTCCAGATTTAGATACATTTGAATATGAATTATTATACTCTTCACATAGTAATTTGTGAAGAAGTTAAAATATTAGAAGATATCCAAACTCAAAAACGAAAAATGACAACTTAAAATGTTGAGTAAAAATCAAGCTTTCTATAAGGAAAAAAGGGGGTTGAAATTTAAAAGAAAAGCGATAGCGATATAGATTCTGAAAAAATTAGAGGTTGCAATATTGCTCCACACGTTACAGATACAGAGACAGCTAGAAACCTTGTAAACTTCTGTAATAAAGGAATAATAAGAGCTTGATGAAAAGGTAATACTTGTGAGAGCCAGATAAAAGCCTTATTACTACCAAACACATCATAAGATAAAAGAAAGTTAAAAAAAAATAATTAGTGAGAGAAGAAAACATTGATAACTCCAATAAAGGCAAAAACACTAAAACCTGCAATACGCTCAATAGAAAAAAAAAAAAAAAAAACATGATATGATTTTGAAAAAACATTGGCAAAAGAACTAGATGATAAGAAAAGTAATATTTGTAACTGTGGACAGCAGGTTTTATTTAATAATTAGTAAAAATTGACACAATTAACAACCAACATATACACATGACAAGCCACGTGCAATATGGTAATATTAAGAAAAAGAAGGCACTCGGGAAAAATTACAAACTCAGTAAGGATTGGTTGATGATAATAATGAAGAAAAACTAAATAAAAGTAATAGAAATAAATTGCTATCTGCAAAAATAGATATCTAGCTTCAATATTTCTGATATTGCGAGTGGAGAGAAACAAAAATATTGACATAAGAATAGAGATTGGAAAAGAAAGTGACATTACAAATAAAATCACATCCCCAAATAGCCATTAATAAAAGTGTATTTGTTGTGAAGCCATCACGCCATTTCTAAATCGGAGTGAGAGGACCGATTATCTTTGTAATTTGTTTTGTATATTAAAGTGTACGCATAGGGCACATAAATAAAATCATATATCACAATGTTTCACCTGACAAGTTGGTTTATTTATAAAAAAAAATTACATTTACTTTTACATTTTTATATAATAATTATTTTAGTTAGAATTCACGAAACACTTATTGCTGTTTAGTTTCAGAATTTCTTTACAGTTTTAACAAAAGTCTATTCTATATTAATTACAATTATTCTTAGTTTCGTTATGTTAAATCAATTATACTAGAGGTGTGAGGCAAAGACAGTGAACTGTATATTTAAATGGAACGCCAATATCGTTGGGTGCGCGTGGTAGAAATGGTTCTCTAATGCTGCTAAAAACATAGCTAAATTTTCATGAAAACACTGTACTTTTAACATTTGCGATACTCCGACGCATATGCATTATTGATGTAATCCCATGATTTTACAGTAATAGTTTTTGCAATTTTGAATGTGATTTTAAGGTTATTACGGTAATTCGTTTTGTTTGGTTCTGATCTTTAGCGTTTTTTAGAGTATCTGTCTGTCTTTTATAGTCATAGTTTTTAATTTATATTTTAATTGTGTGGTCTATTTATATTTGATTGCTGTTTTTTGATTAGTGCTTTGTTTTTTGTTTTAAAATAAGCTTCATAACCATTAAGTATCTGCTTCTGGTTGATATCTATTGTCAAATTATTTAAAAACAAATACATACCTAGCTATTTTCTCTAAATGACATTAAAAATGTAAAAAACGTATTTCTGATCTATTAAATCGTTATTAACGATAAAGAGTACTTTTAATTTATTAAAACAAAAATAAAACCTGAATCGATAATTTAAATCACTGAAAATAAGTTGCTTGAGATGGGGTCGTTTTTATTGTAAATATCCCCAAAGAAAGAAGTCCAACGGTGTCAAATCACATGATCGTGGCGGCCAATTAACATCGCCACGACGTGAGATAACACAGCCGTTGAATTTATCGCGCAAAAGAGCCATTGTTTCGTTAACTGTGTGGCAAGTGGCACCATCCTTTTGGAACCACATATCGTCCAGGTCCTATCCTCAATTTCTGGCCACAAGAAGTCTGTTATCAATTATTTCTCAGAGTCATTGAAAATATGGACCACCGAATAGAGGTATGCCACCAAAGCCGTGGCAAACATTTGGCCCTGTTTCACACAAAAGTAACTGCCCCAATTTATATTTTTTGACATTCCCGTATATGGTTAAAAATGTGAAATTTATTACTTAGTGGTAAGGACCAGGGCCGACAAGAGGGGGAGGTAGCCGGGACTAATTCCCGGGGCCTGGGCTCAAGTGGGGGCCCGGCAGCGACATAAGGCGGACCCGGCAGCTTTGGTGAGGACGTTTTTTATTTCTTTTTTAAAAGTTCGGTACAAGAGGGAGGGCCTAATTTTTTTATAAAGTTGACACATCGTCGCAGGCCCCGACCTGGAAAATTGTCCTAAGGCCCGACCTGGCTCTTGGCGGCCCTAGTAAGGACACACCTTTAGGAAAATATAATGGAGAAATTAATTGGATTTTCTTCTTGTTAAGTTTCAAAAATAATAATTTGTCATGATTTAAAAACAAATACATTAAATAGCCAAAATATGCCTGCAAAGGCACTTTGTGCGCAATTCGCCTGTATCGTTGTGACGTAATGCGCGAATTCAACTTGGCTTACTTTTGTTAATAGAGACTGGCGTTCCATTTTAAATACACAGTTCACTGGGAAAAGATAATTTAAAAATACACCGACCGGGAAAATAGGTACGAAAAAAATTCACTGGCTCCTGGACTAGTACTGTATCGAAGGAATTTTAGGAATGAAACAACTCTACGACCCTACTTAAATACTACAATAACGGTCTAGTATAGTTACGCTGTTGTCAGACGTAAATTTTTTTTTGGATAATTTAAAGACTTAAACAGTATTGCAAGCAAAAGTAATTACATTACTACACCTAAAAACATCGCAAACTTGGCATCAGTGTTTTATCCAAATATTGCAATTCTGCCGAGGATCATCCGCGTTGGCTTCAGAAATTTTTTAAATAATTATATCTGTCTTGGTTATATATCTTTAAATAAAATAGATAGAAAATGCGTATAGGAGACGAACACTGGAGTTTTATAAAAAGTGACTGTATCAAATAGATCCAGGAAAGACGGTTAGTAAAAAGAAAGAACTACAATCGAGGTAAATCCATTATAATTTGGTGTATGTATATAAGAATACTGTAGTTGTAACAATCAAAATTATATATTTATGTTGGTACTACAACGTTTCTAGATCCTTTTCAGTTTTAATAGTTGGTAACACTGTAAGTCTGTCAGTCGTTTTTCGTTAGTATTTATTGATACAAATTCGCTGTTGATAATTATTATAATTTCAAATAGTTAGTTAAACATTATAATCTTTACTTTTTTACTTAGTATTTTAATTACTACCACCAGCTTCCACTACAAATACTCTAATGTTTATTCTCAATTTCTATTCTATCAAAAAAAAAACATATTTATCTAATCTCAGTGCAGTTATTCATCTCCGATTTCCAAGCTTTCGAAATTGTCATTTCAGCAAGTCAAATACGACCGGAACTGTTAATTGAATAAGGGAGACTTGGGAAATATTAAATGTTTGCCGAAAAGAGGGCGAGATTAATAAAATGGTTGATATATGCGAGTTTAATTTGGAAAGTCTCCAAACTAAATCTACAAAACGGATACATAAACTAAACGGATCAGTAAAAAGTTGTGCGGTTGTTAAGAATTCGAAAATAAATTAGATCTTGCAGATTTGGAGAAAGAAGAATTGATAGTATTAAGGGGAAATTAAAAATATAAGTTTTCGTCAGGATTTCATGAGGTACCTAGATTTCTAATAAAAAAAGCTTTAGTAGCACTACACAATCCAGTTGTTTTTCTTGTCAATCTTTCCTTTACTAGGGGTTCTTTTTCAAATATATTGAAACTTGGGAAAATAACACCAAATTTAAAAAAAAGTCAAAAAATAAACAACTATCGCCTCTTACAGTTCTGTCAACTATTTCTTATGTACCTATTTGAATACTGTTACTTAAATAGACTTCTCTCTTTCTGTGATCACATATCTTTTCTAATAATCAACATGATGTTTTTATAATTTGTATTTTACCAGTACATACATTATTTTTTATATCTATTTTACTTAATTTATAAGCTGTATCTGACGTTTTCCATAAAACTGTTATTAATTATAATAACGAACTACATTGTTTCTATTTTCCACTTACCTTTTCTCGAAGCATATCTCTCGTTCGCGTAGCCTGCGTTCTGCTCCTGTGCAACTCCAGCTGGAGTTCCAAGCACCGTTCCTGCCAATTAACGGTACCATTACTGCCGGAACCGCCTTGTCCATCCAATACATCGAAAGCTGCTAGAGGAGGCGGCAGTACCGAATGCGCGTCGCGTAATCGACGAGGTAAAAGTCTGGGTGACGAAGGGGTAGATTGAGACAATCTGAAAATAATTATATGTTTACAGTTTTCGATAATTTGAACTGTCTGTAACGTTTGGAAGGAAGGTTAATCCCCACGGTACTTAGGCCTCATTAAGCTCATTGTGCATCCTCCTAAGATGATAGGCAGTATACAGATTTATTATAGTTGACAACGTCGCTAAGAGGGACTGAATTGCGTCATGGATTTACGTCATTCATTTTCTATATTATAGAGAAAACTAGGAAAACAGGGAGTTTGTTTTTGTTATTTCTGTATGAACATTACAGAGTTAAAATAAATTTATGTTTCTACGAAATATATTTAGAAGTTACACCATCAAATTATCGTTAATGTCTCTTGTGGATCAATCCATATCAAATTGTAAGTATTCATTTGAATTATAATTACACATTTTTAACAATTATTCTTTGAAAAATCTGTTTTTTTTTTTTAATTTGATAACATTTTTGTAATATATACTTTATTATTTTTTCGGTCTGTCTCAAGTTCTACCATTAATAAAATATATACATAACACAAGATATATGAATAATGTTCGTCTTATTCGATCAAATAATGGGAAAGTATTATGTTAGACGCAAGCCATCGATTGCGCTAAATTGGATCCTTCCGATTCTCTTGTTGCAATGTCAGATGGATTCTTGGTTTTTTTATGGCCCTTTTGATAGCACTGCCGCGTTACCAATATCAATATTTTATCAAGTTCAGTGGGGAATGTATACATTCACATCTCTCGACTTTTTTTCCTTTCCATTTACAATAAAATACGTTTGTTCTCGTCAGCATAATCGAGTTATAAAGATAAATGAAGTTGGATGAATTGGAAGATTCAATATTGAGTTTTTTTATCTCCATTTTTCTGTTTTTCAGAAATATTATTGCCGATTTTCATCGGAAATAAAAGATGCAGTTATGAAAAGGAGTACTATTTGTTATATAAATAAAAATGTCCTTGGATTATTCGGTCGTTTTTATTTTATATTGTTTAGCACAGCACTACAAATGTTTCGAAAAACTTTTCCATCTTCGGGTGCGGTCAAAATTTAAAAACAACATAGGGACGATTACAAACAAATTAAAATATTTTTAAAATAGCAGAAACCCCAAGAAATTATTCCTATTAAAATACTATTTGCTAATTTTAATTTTTATTAAATTTTTGTGTAATTGTAAAAAGTTTATCGACTGTTTAATAATATTTTCTACAAATTTATCTAACAATTTTAATACGCTATCATTCTGTTTCCATTAAATGTTGATTTAAATTATAAATATGCATTGAAAACTTATTGGTTTTATACTAGCAAAAGTTCGATTTTTTAAATTACAATATCAAAGTAAAAATATTCAATTCTATGACCTATAATCTTTACCATACTGTCATACCACCTTCCTTTGACCCAATACAATTTATACAGGTTTAAAATAAAAACAGGTTGTTTGAGAGAGTAGATAAGCAACAGGGATACAGACACACTACTTCCAAAAGTCACCGCTGGATGGCACCACCTGTCACTGCTGGACTTGAAACTTAGACAAGTGATTTGAAAGTCGGCTAAATGATCCAAGATGGCGGCTATCGTTTACGTGTGAACGTATATAGATTAATTTTAAAGAAAAAAAAAATGATGAAAATGTCAAAAGGACCTAAGTATATATCTGCTGTTACTGGTTCGATCTGCATGGAAAAAACTTCACTATAAAAAAGACATAACGTAGATCAGGGACCCCGCAACTGCGCGTTCAACTCGTGCACCGCACGCGGGCGCAATGATTATAATAATTATAACATTTTAATTTAATTTTATGTTCATTTCTTATTATTATTCATTTGTTAGTAATAGATTTCTTTACAGCAAATACATATCGCAACTATTTTTTTCCGTTTAACATGTAGTCAGGCAAAACGCTACCAAAGCGTACCAAATTTATCAATATTGTTTTTCCATCATGACAGTATCATAGTTCAGGTGATCTAATTTTAATTTATATTGGTAGTTCTGAATCGAGGTATTTCTGTCAAAACTAAATAATCTATGTTGGTTTGACGTTTACAAAAACATTCATTAAAAATAAAGATGAAAAATTGTACGAAATGGAAAAAATTGTTATTTTTTCGAACAATGAAGAATAATTTTTTGCAATTCCTTCTTCTATTTCGTTAATTATTATGTTAACTGTTTACTTAAACAAATGAAATATTGCATATCCTCTTGGGTACATTAATATGCCTTGAACAGGGCAGCATTTTTCCAATCGTCTGAACTTATTACTTCGAACATAAAATGTACAAAAATAACTCGTTATTGTGCAATATACTTATAATATGTTAATGTCAAAACGTTGATCTTAGTTTAAATGTCCGACTTTGATGGTTCAATTTTTCAGGTAGTTTAAATTAAGTTCAAACGTGAACTACATATCTTTCAATTAAACCAAGTTCATTGACTGAACTCAGTTTAAACTATGATTGAAAAACCGGCTCTAAGTGATACTAGATGGTCAAGTAGGATTGATACTATAAAGCAAGTCTACGCTGTGGGTACTGTTCAGCATAAAGTCTTTGTGCTTCCAATGACTTACCGTTAGCACGACCGTGTATGTAAAATGCATATCTGCCATTTCCAAATTCGAATATGCATTCATATTTTCAATCAACTAATATTTCCTACAATACACAATCATAAAACTTGTGAAACAATAAGATGGGTAACAGAAAATGACACTACACAATCCTGGTATCAGTATTAATGTTTTTATGCAAAGCACAGGCCACTAGACTTGACGCAAAATACACTCGCGTTCGCTCATCTTTTTGAAAACATTGCATTAGATTTTTTTCTCATAAATGCTTAAGTTTTCGAAAAAAACTTGTAGAGATAAAAAAGTTAGTCAATGAATTGGGCTTTTCAGTCATACTTTTTTAAAGAAAAAAATTTCATCTAAAAAAAAGTTGTAAGAAAAAATATCTTAGGGGTTGATTATTTCAACCCCTTCTAAGCATACTTCAGGGTTGAAAAAATTTCAAAAAGTGTACTTTTATTGACAGATAATGTTTACCAAGTTTCGTGTCTTTAGCTTGATATACAGGGAAAATAAAAAAGAAAAACCATTATTTTTTTTAATTTTCCGGGGAGGGTTTTTTCAAAAAATTTTATACCAAACACTCACATTAATTTTCATCACAGAATCACCCCTTTAATTTTTTCGGTGTTATTTAGATACACCCTGTATATTTGAAAACAATCTAACTTCATATCTACCAAATATTATCATTTCGTTAAGAATCCTGTTTGCTTTACCTGTATCTGTAGCTTCTGGTGTGAGATCCTTCTCAAAATTAAAATTAATTAAAAATTATTTGAGGTCTATCATGTCACAAGAAAGATTATCGGGTTTGGCAATCTTAGCTATAGAGCAACAGATCCTCGATCAAATTGATTTTGATAATATTACAAAAGATTTTGTAGCAGCCAAATCCAGAAAAAAACCTATTCAATTTTTGGATAATTAAATGTTTTATTTGTTTACTGTTTGGTTTCTTTTTTCGTTTGTAAGAATAAAATATTAGTTTTTGAAATATCTGTTGTTTCATTACAAAATTAAAATTAAATGTGGTTTTGCAATTTGCTTAAATGTTAAACGACTACAAGAATATTATAGCAAGCCACGAAATTTAAAAAACATATGTATATATTCTTCAAAATATTATTTATAAAAGTTACTACATATATTCAAAGGGCGCCAAAATATTTCCGGCACGCGCGCGGCGATAATCCTGACAAAAATATATTCAAATTATTTTAAAATGTTGAAGGAGGCGCCATGATTCCAAAATATAAACTTAATTTGTCAGATATATAAATAAAAGAAAATTACAAATAAAAAACTTACCGAGTAAGCTCTCCAAGTCTAGTAAGCGGATCATAATTCTGACTCAATCTTCTCGAATTTTCTTCACCCATTATAGTCTATATATCCTAAGTTACCGCCATAACATACACTCACTAATCCTAATCAAATTAATTTACAACAACAATAACAAATCGAAATTTTTCGGGATGGAAGTCACACAATCACAACCACGTTTTAAACAATAAACAAATCGCACGTGCGCCGACAGTTACGTCACGCGATTGACGTTTGTTTTAAGAAGAAACCTCTATGCCAACCGGGATCGTACTGACATAAAGTAGACTTAGACATATCTGAATGCTGGGTCTAGTGTGCGATGGGCATTGACCTCCGCGAATGTAAGGTCGTTTCTGTATATTCTTCATTCTTTTACTAACAAAACAGTTGAGCGGCGCTTGCATTTTCATTCATAGATATACCGGTTCGATTATATCATACTGATTAAAATACTGAATTTGTTTACATCTAGTTAATTAATTATTCGGTAGATAATTATTATAACAAATTGAGTATAAATAAACGAGATTTCTTAATTCATTAAATAGGCATTTTTTATATTTCATGTTTTAATACTATTAATGAGCTTATGTTTAGGACTTAGAAGACTTGTATGGACGTCGAGGAGTTTACGGACCTGAAACAAAGAAAATATATATTAAATTTTTGTAAATAAGTATACAGGGTGATTCACATAAGAACCGACATAGAGCAGGGGCATATAGGGGGTCCCAAAATATGGCAATTTAACGCAACTTACCTCTATACCAAGTTGCTTCCCTAAGGAGTTATAGGCTTTGAAAGTGAAGTTATAAATTTTGAAAAAAAACAATATCTCCGTTATTCTTGAACTTAAAGCAACCAAATTTGGTACACTTTGTGGATGTATTTAGGGCGTTACTTGACAGTAACTAGAGTTTAATTGAAATTTGTAAAGGGGGTATACTGGGTGGCGCACCATTAATATTCAACAGAATTTTGTTAACCCTTGATGGATTTTAAAAATATTTGCTTTGTTTTGTGGGCAATTCAATTCTTAAACTTTTCTTACTCTAGTAATTTTTCGAAAAAACTCATCATTTTCATCAAAAACTCGAATAACTTAAAACGCGCGCTCTAGGTGTGTTATTTAAAATCATCGAAAATTCAAAAGTTGGCTATGAAAATAAACGTCAAACTTGACAATGAAGCAAGTAAGTTGTTCAATTAGGTAATTGTTATTTGAGTGTTTTTAAAATGAACGGGAAGTTTTCTTTTAACGAGCAAGTTGACATGCTGTTAGTGCTAGGTTTTTGTGAAGGAAACTGTAGAAGAAGTGTAGAAGAATATCGTAGAAGATTTCCTAACCGTATCATTCCCCATAGAGAAACATTTTCTAATGTTGAAAGACGAGCTAGAGAAACGGGCAAGTTTCTCAATAATACTCGAGAACGTGCTGTCGCACTCAGGCCACAAGTTGAGGTAGCCATTTTAAATGCTATTCAAGATGATCCACATATTAGTACTAGGAATTTATCTCGACAAATTGGTATATCGCAGAGTTCTGTGCATCGAGTTATCCGTCGCAATCTACTACACCCTTATCATGTACAAAAAGTCCAAGAACTTTTACCCGGAGATTTGATTCAACGTGTCAATTTTTGTCAGTTTATTCTACACCAAGATAATAACTTCCAAAAGAAAATTCTTTTTACGGATGAGGCGACTTTCACTCGCAGAGGTATCACAAATCTCCATAACTATCATGAGTATTCTGACGTAAACCCACATGCAATAACTCCTCGGCATTTCCAACGTGAATTCAAAATTAATGTTTGGATGGGAATTATTGATCGATATTTAATTGGTCCTGTTGTTTTACCGAATCGGCTGAATGGTGAAAATTATTTAGAATTTCTACAAAACACCCTTCCGTATCTACTTGACGAGGTACCTTTACAACTAAGGTTGCAACATTGGTTTATGCACGATGGAGCACCGCCTCATTTTAGTATGAACGTAAGAAATTTTTTAAACCACCAGTATCCCAATAGATGGATAGGAAGAGGAAATAATTGCCCACAACGTTGGCCCCCAAGATCACCTGACCTGAACAAATGTGACTTCTTTCTGTGGGGAACGTTGAAAGAATTTGTGTATTCTTCGCCCGTTGCGTCTCAAGAAGAATTATGGAATCGCATTATTCATAAATGCACATCTATTAGGAATAATCAACAGTTATTAGATAGGGTGGATTTTAATTTTCGAAGAAGAATAAATTTATGCGTAAGAGAAAACGGCGATCATTTTGAACAATTTCTTTAATTTATCGATAAACAATTGTTTGTTCTGGTTGTTGTTTAAGTTTTTTGTGTTTATTTTGGTTAGTTGTTAATCCCAGTTTTTCACATTTCAGTATCTGTACTTATTTTAAGTTATTTTGTTACGTATCTAAATAATAATTTGCCAGCCAATTCCTACTGATCACATTAAATGACCTACTTTCTTGTTTGACGTTTATTTTCATAGCCAACTTTTGAATTTTCGCTGATTTTAAATAACACACCTAGAGCGCGCGTTTTAAGTTATTCGAGTTTTTGATGAAAATGATGAGTTTTTTCGAAAAATTACTAGAGTAAGAAAAGTTTAAGAATTGAATTGCCCACAAAACAAAGCAAAGATTTTTAAAATCCATCAAGGGTTAACAAAATTCTGTTGAATATTAATGGTGCGCCACCCAGTATACCCCCTTTACAAATTTCAATTAAACTCTAGTTACTGTCAAGTAACGCCCTAAATACATCCACAAAGTGTACCAAATTTGGTTGCTTTAAGTTCAAGAATAACGGAGATATTGTTTTTTTTCAAAATTTATAACTTCACTTTCAAAGCCTATAACTCCTTAGGGAAGCAACTTGGTATAGAGGTAAGTTGCGTTAAATTGCCATATTTTGGGACCCCCTATATGCCCCTGCTCTATGTCGGTTCTTATGTGAATCACCCTGTATAATTTATGTAAATAAAAATTTTTTCCATCAACAAGTTGAAAATATTATTCGAGGTATATTAATTAAAGCACAAATATATCACCTTGGTAAAAATAATAATTTTCGTAGTACAAAGTTGTATATTTACGTAACTTTATCAGCCGTCAGTTATACGAAAAAAACATGAGGCTCAATGTGTACGAGTGCGTTTCGTGCTGTTCGGTAATAAGACGTCAAAAGGCTTCACATACCACAAGCGAATATATTTGAGAATTCTCGGCGTTAATAAATCCAACAGGCCGATGTATAAAAATAATTTTAGTTAGAAATTATGGTAATGGTGATGTAGGAGTGACACGAACGTACCATACGTTTAGTAAATGATAATGGTGTTAATTCTTGGGAAATTTATTTTTATGGAATAAATACCTTAGGTGGGTGGAATATGACGTGGAATTTTCATGAATGGTTCTTTAATAACTACACAAAACTTCACGATTTATAAAAAGATTATTTATTAAAAAGGAATGATTTGTATTTCGTGCAACATTTTTAATTATTAAATATAAAGCGCTTTCAGCATGGTGCCATCATCAGTGCTTATCTACAAAAATTGTGGATGTAAACTTAGAATTTATAAATATGTGTAAAAATAAAATCTGAGTAAGACTTTTAAGTCAAAAGTAAAAAATATGTATATAAGGTAATTTTGAACAAATTAAAAATTAAAAGATAACAAACAGAGTTACATAACCCAGTGTTGGGAATAGTGAGTGTGGATAAGCCCCTAAAAAATTATATCTGATCTCCAGAAGCAAGTTAGCTTGTGTGGAACTAAGGAATTATACCACCTTCACTATTCGAATTGAGTACAATTGAAAACAAGTCAACAATTTAAACAAAAAATTACAAATAGAAGATGACTGTGGAAAATATATTCAAAGGAGGAGGGCCTCTAAGCCCGGTTTTCGGCCCCTTTTGTTTTTACGAAAACAAAAAAAAATTTGTGCCAGTAAGTAAAGGTCATAAACAGTCGATTTGACCCTAAACAAAAAAATCAAATAACCCCCCCCCCTTATTTCCTCCACAGTTCATATGATAAAATAATAGCCTAGCACAAATGCCTTGTAAGTGATTAACTATTTGCCCTTTTACATATTAATTCACTCAGCATATCCTCCCCCCCCCCCCCCCCCGAACAGGGCCCCCCCCGCTGGTTGTATTGAAACTACTCTTAGCGTTACCCAGAAAACGACGTGGACGTAGTAGGTATCTGTTTCTTTTGGGGTGCTTTCTTCCCGTTGCCTCTCACTGGGGTGCTTTATTAACGTAAGTCCCCAAAGTAAAACTTTTTGATTTAGGGTTTTTGACTTGTCTTTCTGCAAGAGAGTTTTAGTAAAACGGTGTGTATGATTAAGTTTGACTTTGGATTTAGGGTTTCTAGATAGAACGTTTCGAGTTTTTTACTTTAGGATTTTAGTTTCATTTAGTTTCAAAATTTTATAAATTAACCGTTTACTTTTTCTTTCATTCACACCAACAAATTTAGCGAAAATAAATAATTCATTAAGTCATTTAGCATTATTTAGAATAACTTATTGGCATGAAGCTTAGCGGAAAGCGTCCAATCAATATGCGATTTAAATAAATGTTTATCGACTTTTCAACAACGAATTGAACTTATCCGCAGTTAATTTAAAACTAACTAGAAAAGTTAATGAAGCAAATAACAAATAAAATTATTCACGGCATGTTGGTTTCGTTATCCATTCACTTTAATTGAGAATGAGGATAGTAAGAAATTTAGCTAGGTATTTTAAATGCCGCAATTTGCATTTTCTGCACTCGTAATTTTATTTCTTAAATAGTTCAATTCATTTAGGTGTGTCTGAAATAAATTCTCTCGCCGTTTTAAGTGGCAATGCCTCATGTTGAGCCCGCACCGCAACAAAATAAACAACTGAAGTGGGAAATTTAGAAAAAAGCGAAACAAATTGAAGGTAATGTGTATCTTTCTTGGATCTTTTATATTCATAAAGTGTGGAAACGGATCAATTATCTTACAATCGGACAATTTTTTATTTTAT